ATGTTACTTTCCAACTTCTAAATTACAGATCTGTTATTAGCCTTCAGAATGAAGGTCATAACGGTCCTTGAAGAGTATCTCGTAATTAACAACAGTTTGAGTGATAATATTACAGTTTGTGTTCAGTTTCCTTTCAAATAGGTTTAGCTAACTTTGGAGTTTGTCTGAATTCTTGTTTTTCTTGCTCCCTCCGACTTCTTTTAGTGGTTTTGCTTTGTCTCCAAATCTCAGTAATTAACTTGTTGAGTTGGTGATCAAAACTAAGACGCAAGAAGCTAATTTATCTGATGGAATGAAGTGACTGGGTGATGTTAGCCCTCTCACCGGGGGATGTAATGACTCTCTGGAGAATGAGGAGAAACTCAAGTCCAGGATTGTCGCACTTTTCTGCTTCTCCCCTGTGTGTAGAGGAGAAAGGCTGGAGGGAATGGGAGAGAGAGTGGGGGAGTGTGATCGGTGGACAGCCATTCATCCTGAGCTAAGGGAAGGTTTCCAAATCTCCCCCCATGACATTCTTCTGGGCTCAAAGAAGCCCCTGGACAGAAGTGGCCCAAAACTGGCAGAGACCGCCTCAACGTTGCCAGGGACAGCCACTCTGCCGAGGCGTTGCTGGGGCCCAACGCTGTTTTGTCTTCCGTTCTCACCTCACTTCCTGGTTTGGAAAAGGAGGCTGGAGGATCATTAATGACCAGAAGTACCCCATACTACACTGTATGTCCACACGTAACCAGAATTCAGGACAGACTTGCACGTCTTCTTTCAGTTAGCTATTTCTGCTTTCCCTCAGTGGCACAGGTGTTCTTTTTTTCACTCCAAAGCAATCATCCATCCAGTGCTGTCGTCAGGTAGATTTCTTAACTTGAAACAAGGAGTTTTTATATCAGAAGTTACACAGACCAGCATCCAAATTACACTATTCCATGGTAAGCTACATTCACACACACACACTGATGGTGATGGAGCAGCCTTGCAAGGCGTTGGCCTGTCCATCGGTCATCCATCAGGAGCATTGTAGGGTTCAGTGTCTTCTTGCCCAAGGACACTCAAACCGCCAACCCAGAGATTAGTGGACAAGCTTCTCCCCTGAGCCCTAGCCGCCTTTTCATTTCCACACAAAGGAATTGCTTTGACTCAGTTGTCTTTTTACTTCCTGTCCAACTTACGCCTACATTTGATCAAATATCTGACCAGTTTTACAATATAATGACTTAATGATGTTGTATTAAGGATTGCCAGAAGAACAAGACAATGTGAAGTTTTCCTTTACAGCAGTCTGACAAACACTGCCTAATATATATGTAGTGGTGCTAATTAGATCGATTCTTTGTCTTATTTAATCTGATATCTGTGGTGGATGTGTGTTCCCAACTGAAACGTACAGTATATCAGTCTGTGTGAACTGATTTGTGACTTTTGACTTGCAGCATTACACAATGAGTTAGTTCAACTTAAACTGTTTAAGGAAACCGATTGCCTTAAACAATTTAAGTTCAAAAATTTGATTTGAGTACAAGTGACTCAAGTCTTTATAGTTAAGCTAACTTAAGTTAATTGTACCAGTTCCATTCAGATGGGGTTGGGTGATTGGATGAATATTTTAGCTGTCGACGATTATGACCTGGCAAAGACTGAAACTAAGCAAATCAGGATTGTATGAGGCACTATTTTGTCAAAAAGTAATGCATGGTAACGTTGCTTCAGAAGTGGAAAAAAAGTCCATCGGCGGTTGTTTTTTTAGACCAATTTTTGGGTACATTTTTTATTTTATTTTGCTACCTCTGAAGAATGAGAGCCGCTCAGTGAGCCAAAGAAAGAGTGAGAGGAAAAACACCTTTAGAAACAGTGTATTTTCACATCTAACTGTGTTGAATTAAGGGTTCATTTCCACTAGTTTGACGACAGGGAATACAGTTACAAGGTGATTCACAGAAGCTGCAAACAAGACTCTGGGGAAGATGAGGACTCAGTAGGGACTGCTTGGGACAGGAGAGGGACAGGCCAGGAGATAAAAGACATGAAGTGGGTAGAGGAGCGAAGGAGGTGGGGGCAGCAGAGAGGCAGCAACAGAAACTAATGCACCAACAATTGCTGATTGTTAAATTTCCACATATCATCTGACCCTATATATCACACTCATATGCAGCATTTCTCCAAAGGTATTTAAAATGTGTTAACAGAATTGATCTGAATAAAGTTTTTTTTATGACTAACATCAAATATTGCATACTTGTGCGCATTGTGATTTGTAAATTGAAATAAAAAGAAACATTTAATTTTTGTAATGATGTAAGGAAGTCAACTTAAAGAAAATTAGTTAATGGAACAAACTGGAATTATATGACCAATACTTAAAATACTGCAAAGTTCACTAAAACAACTGCGTTATTACTTCAACAGTTCATTAATGAGAATGAGTGACTCCAAATGTTTTGGAGGATTAAGTTATGTTACCTTAATTTTTATATATTCTGTTTGACATAACAGTGTAGCAACTGGTAGTTAAGAAACAAAAACAGAAATGAAAAAAATAAATAAAACATGCTTCAAAATATCTCAGTGGAGAGTGGAGCACCATTAAAATACAACTAATAGATTCCATTGTGAGTTCTTTTGTAACCCTTCAAATGGTTTTATTTTGCCCAGGTTTGTGGGCAGCTGTCCGAGTGGTGTCCCAGGAAATCTCTGAAAAACACTTAACTGCCCAGTTTTCATGCTTTGAGCTGGAAATGAGCATTGTCCAATGATTCTTTAGAGGTTTTGGAAACTATTTAACTTCCATGTACAAAGCCAGAGCCACAATAAAATGTGTGCAGGGCATGAATCCATGTTTACACGCCACACCAGAATAGTGTCTTGGTACGGGAATGAAAACTCTTATTACATTTATAGTGAGCCATATTTTATCTTACTTAGTTTATACAGATACAAAGAATTTCTTGTTAGAAATGCTAGCGATGAGTATAATAAGAGTCATTTAAAGACATCTCATTTATTAAATACTGTATCATGTGTACTGAATCTAAGAATGAATCCTCTTAGCTCCTGAATCCTCTTAAGGACAACCCGTGAGTTTCCATTCTGCCTGCCTGCATTCTTGTAGGGCCGCAATTAATGTGCAGCATCAGCCATTGTAGCGTCTGGAAACACATCTACAGAAGTATAAAAACATGGGGAAATGCATCAACTCATTGAATATTATTAAGTCATTAAACAAAAAGCTTGTGGAAATTGCATACTTTACAGTGTGTTGCCCCATGGAGATTAAATGATTGAAATTTCAAAGGACATCATTACCCAGAAATCATGCAAAGACATCATCATTGTCAGGACACTTGACATGTCACAATAGGAAGCGCACAGGTGTAAATAATAAAAATCAAGGATGCCTGAATTCCATTTAGCTTCTTTAATTTCAGGGTCCTGCTATACAGTGCATGCTCGCTTGTTACACTGTCAGTGCTTACTGGGACACAGCAGAGTTAGCTGGCCCAAACACAATAATTTTATTGGGGGTCCTCATTCCCCAGAGTCTTGTTTGTAGCCTATGTGAATCACCTTGTAACTGTATTCCCTGTCGTCAAAAAATTGCGGAATTCAGCCGAATGTTTTTTTTTTCTTTTGAATGTGATAGACAAGACAAGGTTTCTGTGCAAAAATAAGCACACACAATATATTAAAACAACCTAAAATATTTAGTAAACTTTAGTAGAACCTTGAATTTCAAAACAAAATGTGACTGCACCACAGACTTAATGCCAACTGAAAACAACAAGCGACACACACATGCATGAGGTGGTAGAGATGTGTTAACACTGAGTTTTAAAAGTAGCATCTCTGTTATGTAAAGGAAATAAAGAAAACATGCT